AAACCGGGCATTAGATAGCTTAAGGCAAGCATGCACTCTTGGGGCCCTTCCAGTGACACCGGCTGCAACTGCAGTGCTCAAGTTCAGATGGCCAACCGCATCCTCTATGAATGCCCTTGCAGTCCTCCTTTGGGCGCCCACAGTCTTATTGACATTGATTGTTCCACCCATCACTACCTTTCTGGTCCTCATGCTTCCGATACACGAGTGTGGCAACACTCACTTCATCATCATTTGCAAGAGCTCAAAAGCTTCATATCAGCTGTAGAAAATATAAGAGATAAAAGCTTCTTTCCATTTTTAATTAGGGGAGAAGTCCTGCAGATAATGCCCCATCTTAACCTAGCCTGGTCCTTGGTTTGGGAAATAGCTTGCTGGTAAATTGCCATTTGCACATGGTTTCCATTTCCAGCCCCCCGGGTTATGAAAGACCTTAAGCATGTCACTGGCTGCTGCCATTTCTGCAACTAAAACTACCCTACAGTACTGTTAAACCCTGACAGGAGTCATTCCCACCACAAACAAAATACAGTTACCTCCAGCATAAAATACAGTGGCTATTTTACGTGGAAAGCACCAGGGACTGAAGGAACTTGTTCCTTATAAAGCTGCAGGGTGGAATATAGGGAGACACACCACAATTATGATTAGGACAGAAAAAGAGAGCCAACTCCTACTCTTGCTGAAAGAGATATGGGAATTTTAATAGCCACAAATGTAAGTGGTCAGGGCCTCTTATTCTTATTCAAATGACAACACCCTTAGCAGCTGAGAATGGGCCTAATTAAGCATTGCAAAATTCCTCCCACCCAGGACAAATAGAAATAAATTAACATTAGTTGTTTCCACCTCCTCCTGGGAGTGGGGGGGGGAGATGTTTATTATCACCATGATGGTAAAAGATGAGAATAAGTTAAGTCCCTGATTTGTTAAGGCTTCCTGACAAGTTAGCAAGCTGTAGCTGGGTGTTTAAGGAAATCTGAACTTTATTGTTTGTAGTGCATAAACGTAATTCAGCAGTTAGCAGTAGGTGAAAAAGAGTGATACCACTGGAGCAGAAAGGTGACGCTTGAGGAATACCTGTAAAATTAGATCCATGAAGATGTTTTATCACAAATAGTTCAACTGTATTTAACTCTACAGAGATCAGGGAAAAGTCTTGTATTCATATTTTTGTCTTGAAAATGCTTTTTTTGGTGATGAAATGGCACGGGCCCATTTATCCAGTTTTGCAACTCAGGCTGAACAGGTAATGGAAAATATTTTTAAGACTCAGACTAATCACATATGGTTTCCCCTTCCGTGCTTTTTCCCCTAGCAACTACTGCTTCGTAGAACATGCAATCTTCTCAGCAGAAGCTGGTTAAAAGAGGTACAGTGATAGCAACCAGAAGAACATCATTATAAAAGTATTCAAGAGCTCCTTTGTTGAGCAGCTGACGCTTCACAGAAGATGCTGGAAAAGATTCACTTTAAAAGCAACGCTGCCTACATGTCCTTCATATTGTTCTTACTTTTCATCAGTGGGACACATGCATGGAATTGGGATATTTGATGATTAAGAATCCATCTGTTCCTTATTTCTCACCTGAAGTCATAATCCTTTGTTTGTGACCTCCGTCATTTCCAACACAAACAATTGTTATTGCCGGTGATAAAACAGGCATTTAAAAACTAAACACAATACAATTAATTTTTGGATTGCATCTTACATACAAAAGCAGCAGAGAATGTTTCTTGGCAGAGTGCAGCCTACGCAGCCAAATCAAAAACTATTTCAGCTTTAGTAGTCTCTTGTAACGCTCTAAAGCAGCTGTGGGGCTGCGACGGAGATGGAAGGAAGAGAAACTGGTTTGTGCCTCTACAGCACTTGTAAGGTGTAGGGGGCCAAGGTGATACAGAGCAGATTCCTGATGGATCCCCCAATATCAGCATCAAATCTCAATGCTTCTTCTACAAGTCTGTTAGAATCTAGGAATTCCTCCCTGTTCCCATTGCTGAAATCCTTCTATCCAATAGACTTACTTCTCTTCTTGATTAGGACAACTTTCTCCTCTGTGACTGTAGCGCATCTCCTTGACTGCTCCACTCTAGTCTATGCCACTGTTAAATCTGGCTTCTTCCCCTACCACATCAAGCCCCTATTCAAAAACTTTCCAAGATGCTCTTGCAGCATCTACATGCAGTCCAGGCATCTTCATCGACTTGAGACATCGCACAGTTCTGCCCGTCTTCATCTCTGCTCTTCTTTCCTTCCTCCAATGACCCACCTAGTATCTAAGCACCTCTCAATGCTGTATCTTCTGTTCTTTTTAATCCCATTGTACTCTACGCTTTGAATTTTTTTTTTTGTTTTCCCCTCACACACAACTGCCTCCAACTCTTTGAACTTATTTTTTCCAATCAACCACCACCCGCAGAGCAGCACCACCTCAAGACTGAGCTCTCAGTCAGCTGAATTCAATTTATTTTGTAGTCCCCTGAGTGCAGAACCACACTGTCCTTTACATCTATATACTTAATATCACATCAGCACTCATGTCCAGTTGGGTTGTTGGTTGTAGGACATGGGCAGTTGTTGGTCAAAGGACATAGGCAGGCATGGGTCTTCAGGTAGATGTGACATCTTTTATTTGACCAAGTGAGTAGTTGGAAAAAACTTTTTTTACAACTATTTAGTTGGTCTAATAAAAGATGCCACATCTACCCAAAGAACCTCAAGCCCAGTGCACATTTTCCTCTACTTCCTTTCCTGCATCCTGTTCAACCCAACTCTTCCGGCTCCCCTTTGTCTTTTTCTCCCACTCGTGGTTTTGGCAACTTCTTTCATGCTGTTTTCAGCACCTTGTACTCCTTGCTCTAGTCCACTAAAGCACTCGTTCTCCTTGAAATCTCTGCTTAAAAGCTAATTTTTGCTATCGCTATCCATTTAAGTCTCATCTAGCTTAAGCTGTAAGCTTTTTAGGGCACGGAGCATGCCCTACTCTACGTCTATCAACATTTCCCACCAACGTAGGGTGCTGCAGTACATAAAAGACATTTCTTATAACTAGGAACCTCAGAGACTCACCTGTTGTAATCCAGCCTCGACTGATGTAGCTGTTGCTGTTTCAAAAGTAGTTTTGCTTCCTGCTTAGCCAACAAATGCTGGAGACGCTCTTTTTCAATTTCCAGCTCCAGTTTCTGCAGTAGAAGCTGCTGCCTTCTTTCTTCAGATAGCCTTTTACTATGCTCCATTTCTTTTGATCCAGAGTCCATGCTGTCATTCAGTCCAGAAACATGAGAGTGCCCGAGGTAATCGCAGCCTTCGTATTGTGGCCCACAATGTCTTCTGGGTACATGGCTGACCTGACGGCCGCTGTGAGTGTTATCTGAGCTTCCTCCCTCTCTGTAAGCGCAACAGTGACCTGCTTGATGAGGACACGTGCTCTGAAATTCATTCGTTCCCCACTCCGTGTCCTGAGCCAGCTCTTTGCAGTAAGGGCTCCTTTGCTTGGTGGATGACATCATATTGTTGCATTTTCTCTGCAGACCATTTCCCACCAGGCATTCATCCATAACCTCCTCCTGCTTGTACTGGGCTGTGGTCCCATGAACGTGATTATTTCTACAGTGCCAAGGTACCGAAACCAGAGTTGGACTTCCAGACTTTGATGCTTTACTGTTCTTGTACAATGTCTGTTGTCGAGCTACACCTAGGTATGAACCATCCAGTTCCAAACATGGTGGCTGGCAAGGGCTCTTCTTGTTCGAAACCTAAAATAAGAGAAAAAATTTCCAAAATTTGAAATAAAGCATGTGCAGAATTGTGCCCTGGCTCAGAAAAATGTACTTTTTTTTATTAACTCTCAGCATAAAGGTGTCGTACCAGCGCTGGAGTCGTTACATTTTACTGATAGACACCCAGCGTGACTCAAGCAAAGGTTTATCAAAAGGCAGAGATGAGCCTGCTATCAAATCTGCTTTTCATTCAGTCTACACAAGTACAATAAAAACACAAATCTGCTGCCTGCAGGATCCTTGGCATAAAACAAGTAGCTTCAGAGTATCAAGTAGTTGTGAGTATCTGGGGTTATATAAAATCAACTTGAAGAGTGGCAAAAAACATTAAATGTTAATGTTTGAAAATGTTTAATTCTGAATACCAAGCCAAAAAATCCATTCAGCCACTATAAATACTCTTTGATTAGCCATTACACAGCAGGAGATTTGATGTAAAACATTTCACCTTGTACTGAATGGGATATTACTTACCGTTGGAAATTTGATGAGACTTTTTGAAATATCTTTACAGAAACACAGATAAAAACTCACTACTTTCTGTAAAAAATGGTTGTACATCAAAAGCTGTCATTTAAATACAAAACATGTTTAAATTCCGCTATAAATGTAAGTGATTTTTCAATTAAGCTGGGCAAGTGATTATACTCTGATAAAACCACGAAGAAGGAAAGCCGCTGTAATTTACATTTGTCAACCCAATGCAAGCCAACTCTAGGGGCTGTGCTGCACTCGTGGCTATTATGCAACGGACATCAAAATCCTACTTGCATCCTGGACTATATCTTTGCCCAACAGTTTATCTCGACAGTTAAACATCTGAGTTGCTATGCACATCAGAACGGCAGTGAATCATGCACTCGCGGCTTCTTTTTTTCCTAGACTTGTGTGTTAATTTCAGTAACATATTGGATTTAAACTCTGTTTCGGCCCTCGGGGCCTTTGTCAAAGATTTAATTTTGTTTAATTGCAGAAGCCAGGTTTGTTAAAGATAACCGAACCACTTTAGCAAACAGTGAGCAAGCTGAAATTTGGTGGCCACTGATGGCCGGGAAGCTATTATTTGTAATCTAGCAGCATATGCAGCAAACTGGGTGCTGTCTGCATATGCAAAGACAATCCCCAGCCCAAAGACCTTAGAGCTAAATGGTACAAACAATATATCACAGGTTAGGAGAGGGACAGGTTAGGAGAGGGCAATGAAAATGGTTTGGGGGCTGTGGGATGTGACTTATGAGGAGATGTTGAGGCTGATTTAGTCTGGAGAAGACAAGACCAAGAGAGGATTGAATAGCAGCCTTCAACTCCCTGCAGGAGGGCTGCAAAGAGGATGGAGCTGGGCTGTTCTCAGTGGGGGCAGATGACAACAAGGCGCAATGGGCTCAAGTTGCAGCAAGGGAAGCTGAGGTTGGATACTAGGAAAAACTCTAAGAGGGTAGTAAAACACTGGAACAGGCTCCCCAGAGAGGTGGTGGAGTCTCCATCCTTGGAGGTTTTGAAGACCCAGGTAGACAAAGCCTTGTCTGGGAAGATGTAGTCAGGGCTGGTCCTGCTTGGAGCAGGGGGTTGGACTAGATGTGACATCCTGAGGTCCCTTCCAGCCCTCATTTTCTGTGATTCTATGATATAATCCTTACAGAAATAACAGACGCATATATATCTGACTGCCCCTAAACCTGCCTATTCCAAGTTTCCATTTATAGAAGGGGAAATAATGGAGATTATACTGATATTTGATTACTTTTAGTTTTAAGTACAAAAATACATTCTCCATAGTGTGTCTGAAAGCCATATAAGACGTGCTATGCCACATGGGGTCTGATGGGTTGTAGACATTAATGTCACAGTGAACAGAAAGAACAACCCTGAGTACTTGGACTGGGTGAAAAGTGCAGGATATCAGAATATCCCAGAAGTCAGAGGAGCTGTCAAGGCAACCTACCACGAATGCAACATGCTACAAGAAAGGCCAACTTGCTGCTGTTTATTATAAGCATGGCACTACTGTCCATGAAGCTTTATAAATAAAAATACAAAATAACACCCCCCCAATCCTGAGGCTCTTATAACTCCAAACTAGAAAACACAGGAATTCATGACCAGAACTGAAGAAAGGCATGAAAGACATCAAGGCACACAACAGAGGAGAGGAGAGGAGAGGGCACAATAATCATGTAGTTATGCATTATGAATCTTGATTCTCATCTTCCCATGCTATAGAATAGTCGGGGAGGCACTGAGGTCCCAGAGGGGAGGGGAGCTGGGTGTCCAAGGAGAGTGCTCACTCCTTAAGGAGATGATCCTCCAAGCCCAAAGGGAGGTAATCCCGACACGGATCAAACGGGGCAGGAGGGCGCAAAAGCCCCCATGTCTCACCAAAAGCATCCGGGAACGTCTCCTAGCTAAAAGGGAGGGGCACACCCAATGGCAGGGAGGGGCCATCCCCAGGGAGGACTATACTGCGGTTGCTCAGGGATGCAGGGGGGGGTCAGGAAGGCCAAGGCGGAGATGGGACTGAGACTAGCGACCTGGATCCAGGACAACAAGAAGTCCTTTTTTAAATACATAGGGGGCAAAAAGAAGGTACCGGGTAATGTGGGGCCCCTGCAGAACACGCTAGGAAATCTGGTCATCACACCAGACGACAAAGCTAACCGATTTAACGATTTCTTTGCCTCCATTTTCCTGAGCATGGACAAGAACAGCCACCCTACCTTTGGGCCCCCCTTATACCCCAGGGGAGGTGCACCTAGGCGCAGGGTTAGTGAGGAACTAGTCAGGAAACGTCTGGAAGGACTGGACATATTCAAATCAGCTGGTCTGGACGATCACCATCCTTGAGTACTGAGGGAATTGGCTGAGGTCATTGCGGGACCCCTGGCACGGCTGTACGAGCACTCGTGGTGCTCTGGTGTGGTGCCAGAGGACTGGAAGAGGGCCAGTGTGGTTCCCATCTTCAAAAAGGGGAGGAAGGAGGACCCGGGAAACTATAGGCCAGTTAGTCTTACCTCGATCCTAGGCAAGCTGTTTGAGAAAATTATCCTGGCGCATGTCCACGAGGGGCCAGCGGGGGAGATTATGCTTAGGGTTCAGATAGCGGCAGGTCCTGTCAGACCAACCTGGTGGCCTTCTACGACCAGGTCACCAAATCCTTAGACGCAGGGGTAGCAGTGGACATCGTCTTCCTGGACTTTTGGAAGGCCTTCAACACTGTCTCTCACTCCGTTCTCATTAAGAAACTGGGG